AGTAATGAGGAGAAGCAGATGAAGGGAGGTGTCATAAAAATAAATTCTGTAATATTTTTGAACTACTCAGTTATTGCAGCAATGAACACTGTGGAAAAGCCCATACAGGCCTAAATACTGTTGTATCTAAGGATCAGTATATGTCGAGTGATGCAGTGTCACATTGAACACTGAGGATAAAGTGAAATATGAGAGATGTGAGACAGAAACCTCTGGATCTCAATCTTTCTCCTGCTGTACCAATGCATTCATATGTATTCATATAAATCTGTGTCAGAAACTAGTTGGGCTTTAGCTGAAAACTGGCTAGGTTTCCTAACTGATTGCATGAATCTCATGTAAGCTCTGTTCCTCACACCTTGCTTTCAAGCTCTCTCCACCCAGATTGCCAGCTCCAAATCTAGAAGGCTGAAGTATTTTTTCCCTTAGATGCCTCCTAGTAGTTAGATATCCTAAAGGTTCCAATGACATTAATCCAGAAGCAATCAAAGTACTATTATCAGGGTCCTGAAGGTACTAAAAGGACTTTAACAGCCCTGACCAGCTCCGCCTGGGACTCACAGAATCACAAAACGGCAAGGGTAGGAAGGGACCTTGGGAGATCATCTAGTCCAACTCTCCTGCCCATGCTCTCTGTCCATTGGCTTGGGGGCTCCATTTAAGCTCAACCCCCGTGCTGGCAGTCCTTGTTTGAGCTATGCTGTGGATGTTCCTGTCTGCATCCCTGCCTCTGCCTCCTGGATGGACCTTGGGTCCATGCTGTAGGTAGCTTCCCTTCTGGTGAACTCCCTCATGCGTGTTGTACCTTGTCTCTCATTTCTGCCTCCTGGATGGGCTTTGAACTGATCTTGTGAGCTTGTTTCTGGGCCTGTCTCTTGCTGCTCCTGAATTGCCCCTGGTCTATCCCCTTGCTGTGTCTGGGGCTGTCCATGGATTGTGGCACTGGCTCCCTGCTCTTCCCACTCTGCTCAGGATGGTGTCCCCTCAGTAAGGGCACAGCCTGTGCCATGGTAACCCTCAGCTTCTAGCTCCTCAACCCTTAAAGAGCAACTGGTCCTTGCTGCTTCCTGACAACCATCTCCTTAATCATCTTTATCTCACAACTCTGACCCTGCTTTCTAGGGCATGGGAAAATCAGTGTTGTTCCCCTGAATAGTTCTCTGGCTATTTTCTTTACCTTGGCATGATCATCATTGTGTTCCAGTGAGACCCAGTGCATCCTGAGGTCTTGCATTTGGTAGAGAGCACAATCTTCTAGTTTTTTGGACCCACTTTTGTGAGAGATGTGGACTTACTTCAGTGGTGAATAACAAGTCAGGGATGTTCGTGTTGAGTGCAGCTCTCACATTCTCCCTTCCCTAAGCAGATATCCCATTTCCTATTTTATCTGACAGTTTCCTGTATTTCATTCTTGTTCCTTCCTGGACTTTGGTCTCTGGCTGCCTCTCCTATCTCTTCCTCTCTAACAGAACAAATTGTCTTGTTACTTGCAGCCACCTCGCCTACCCTTATTCACCTCAGTTAAGTGTAACAGGCCTCTTCCACAGCTCAGTTTCTCCTGCATTAACCAGTCTTTCTGCAACAGCTACTTACATCCATGAATTGCTCTTCTTGTGTGTGTTCTACCTGAGCTGTTTGTCTCTGCTCTCTTCTCCTATCTAATTCATTTCTGTGCTTCATTGTCACTTCATGTTGCACTCTCCTTCTTAGCTGTTTTCACCTATGAATGCATCTGAGATTACTCTCCATGGAAAAAATCTTCCATGAGATAGCCATCCACAGATAACACATGGCAGACTTGCTTTGTCTTCCATTATTCTTTACCTTTGCCCCAATACCCATCAATCCTCTTTTCCTGGTTCTTAAACCTATCCAAAAAGGTTATTCCTCAGACCTAACACTTCCTAAAAAAAGTTCCATGCCAGCTCCACTGTTTACTTACGCCTGCTCAGTGGCTCTCCTGTCTGCTGGCTGCTTGGCTTTTCAGCCCTTTTGTCTAAGCCAGTCATCCTTCCACATACATTTGGTAAACTGTTCAATAGCAGGGATCACAGGCAGGAAGCTTCCTTTATGCCTCTGTCCTACTCGCAACATGCCATTCCTAGATAGCCTCCACAAACTACAGTTTGCAACAAACCAGTGGGTGATGAGCAAACTAACACATCTACTTACCTCCAAAGAACAACCGGACTCTTCCTTTCTCATTGAATTTTCCTGTTTACTTTCTGAATAATTGTTCATGAGTGTTCACACCATCTGTGCTGTGCACCATAAGCACAGGGTCCTGTGGAATAATGAATATTTGATTGTGTCATTCAAGACTAAAACAAGACTGGTTTAATTCTGCCATTTCCTAACTCTACAATCTCAGCATTTCTTTAATCTATTTTTTTATACCGTGAACGCACATTTTGTGCATATCTCTAAAAACCCAATGGGCCAACTTGCAAATTTTGCACTGAAATACACCAGCATTTCCTGAAGAAGTGACTGGATCCAAGATTTTGGTTCTGATCCATTTTGGAATGAGCTGTAAAGTTCAGATAGTCTGAAGTTTGGGGACATCAAAATCTAGGGTTCTGGGTCAGGCTCATTTTATCTTTTCTCACTCCTAGTCCTTTTCTCTGTTCTATGGCTTCTGAAAAGCAGTCACTGTGTCAGCAGGGGGGGGAACTTTTAAGTTTGAAGAGCCAAACCCAAATAGGGAGCAGCTCTACACTGTTGCTTATTAGTATTTTTATCTTTGTAATTTGTCATCCTCTTTAGTGCTTTGAACACAGATGACTTTCTGGTACAAAGGTCTGGAGAGGCATCACATAACGTGCTACATGCTGTATCCTCCTGAGGTTTACTGGTGCTGAGCTCTGACAGAAATGCACACCCTGAAGTCTGTGCTCAGTCTTCCGTGAGGAGGCAGCCAACCGCTCTGTGCAGCAGCAAATCTGCCAGCTGGCCATAGAGGGGCGATGGCATCAGCTGCAGCCTATCCCCTTTGCTAGCTACATGACATATCTGGTCTGGGAGGATTAGAAACCAGGGGAGCGGAGAGCAAATTGCTGCAGGGAGATGAGTTTGGGGGCAGGGGAGCGTATTCACACAACTGCTCTTTTGAACATTTCTCTCTTGATCCCAAGCTACCTGCTACGCAAGATGGGGGAAGGGGGGACTGCAAAGGGGGAGTCTGACTTTCAGGAAAGACCATGGAGAAACATAACTCACATTAGTGGTGAGATTAAAGGATTAGATTCAATTCACACCCCAGTCAAAATGAAATTTCAGCCTCTGCTTTTTGTGTAACGTGCAGTGGGCCAGAGCTGTGACGGTGGTTACGGAGCTTATCCTCAACAGCGCATGGAGGGAGGGGGGTCTAGGCCCCGATTTCTGTGTGTTTCCTGCTGTAGTACAAGTGTTCCCTTGCATGTGAAACCCCACTAATTAGCAGCTTCTCTCGTGAGGAGTGTAGAACATGACCCATGGTACCACTTTTCCCTTTCTCCCACTCCCTTTGCTGGATTTTTCCTCAGACAATTTCTCCAGGAAATCCTTTATCTGAGGCATTGCAAACAGATATTGGAATCCTATTTATTAATTAAAAAAAAACCCCAACAAACCACAATATAAAAGCCCTCCTGTAAAGTACTTATTGGATGTGGCTTGCTATTACAGAATCTTGTACACCAAATCACGGTTTATAGTGGAACTGGGTATTATATTCCTGGTGTGTGAAACGACTTGAGAACAGAACCAGTTTCAATAGTAACTTTCTGGTTGAAGGCTGGACTAGCTCAGTTTCTACGGTCAGGTTTCTGGTGTGAATATTTGGTTCCAAAATTGACATATATTAGAATATATCCATGATTAAAAATCATTATTGTGTTCCAATGGAGGCAGGTAAGTGCAGAGGAAGCAAGTTCTTTTTTCAAGTAATTTTTCAAGCAAATATTCACAGGCAACTCTACTATTCAGCTAGTTTTAGTCAAGACGTTTTGCATTTCTTTGTTAATTTCCCCCTCAAATGCTTTGTAAACTGTTGTTTCCTAGCTTAGGTGGGTTTATATGCTTAGTGCTTGTGCGCTTAGTCAGACCCATTCTTCAGCCATGCCAGCTTTTGCTCATTTTTGGTGAGCAACTTCCAATTTCTTATTTATGTGGTAATAAGATGTTCAAAACTGAACACAGCATTGCAGGTACAGTTTCCTATCCACTTGGAGTTACAGTGCTCTTAGTTACACAGCCCAGAATTTTACTGGGCCTTTTCTGCTAACCTATTTTATATATATTCATACGTAATTTGGTAGGTTGGTGCCTACTGTACCTACGTCTCTTCAAACATCAGTGCTTTCTTCTCACAGAATGTGTGGTTTGGATTGTTTTTATGTGGGTATACTGGTCGGCATTTTTCCAGGTTTCATATTTTTTGCTACATTTTTAACTGTGCTAGGAGATCCAGGATTGTTCATTCTTCTGAAAATTTAGTAATTTGTGGTGATTTCATTGCCCTATATTTACTCTCTTCCAGACCACTGTTAATGTCAAGTAAGACAGGGTCCAGCATCCTCTGTTAGACTGGGCTCTCCTGTGACTCAATTCTGCTAGCCAAGAGTGTATTTGATGCTGCCTGTAGGTGACTGCCTGCTCAGGCTCTTTGCATGCTCTTGCCCTGAACCTGTAAATCAAAATAAGCCATGTTAGCTTACCCAATTTAAACAGTCTAGAAGCTGTTCATCAATGTAGTAGTAAAATAGCCAGCTGGAGAGTTAAAAAGAAATTGTTGCCACATGCATTTAAACTGGAGGATAGAGGGAAAATCTACATCATGTAGTGAGTGTGTGAAGAGATAAAGCTTCACATTTAAGCTCTGGGTGCTGTGGGTTTCCGAAGAGAGCCAGGCAGCTGTGTGGGAATTGTACAGGAGAAGTTCCACCTCCTTGTGAGGCTGTTGGGCACTCCACCATGTTCTTCCTTGTAGCTATTTGAATGTATTCTCTTTCCCCTGACAGGTCCATGGGAGGTGTGTGTGTAGACACAACACAGCAGGAGACCACTGCGAGAAATGTGCACCGCTATACAATGACCAGCCTTGGAAGCCAGGAGATGGAAAAACAGGGGCCCCAAATGAATGCAGAAGTAAGTGGGAGGGAGTTTATTGATCCAGGTTTCAGGATGAGCTCTCACCGTGCCAGCAGGCAAAGTTCCCTAACAAAGACTTCTGTCGATTTACACTAATGGTGCCATTACAGAAACTGGGGATAAGTTGCTGGTCACTGATAGAAAACTTCAGTATGCATGTTATTTTACTGCAGCTGACCCACTGGGCTATTGGGAAGTGGAATTTACAAGGCAGAAATCTGTTCTTCATGCAGCTATGTCCCCTCGTGTGTTTTAGCATTTTAGTGTTGTGTGCTGGGCTTACGAATACGACACAGCTCATAACACCCAAGCTATTCAGACTCTTCTGGGACTCCTGCTCTATGTTGCAACTTCTAGTTTTTATGAAAATCAAGGCTTGCAAGCAGATGAAATCTGTTACATTCAGGTATTTCCTCCATGATTCACAGAAGGAAAATGATACCATTTGAATAGTATTGCTGTGTCTATTAAATAAGCCTGAAATATTGTCTCCTGTTTCCCACCAGAGTGTCGCTGTCACAACCATGCTGATAGCTGCCATTTTGACCTGAGCGTTTGGCTGGCATCAGGAAAGCGCAGTGGTGGAGTCTGCGACAACTGCAAGCACAACACAGAGGGACATCGGTGTCAAAGGTGCAAACCAGGCTATTACCGAGATAGAGGGAAACCCATGTCTTCTACAGAGGTCTGCAAACGTAAGTGACTATTGATACGTGTGGTGAAGATAAATGAATGGTGGAAGAATCATTAAAAGTGTGATTGAAAGAAAGGAATCAATAACTCCTATAGAAGTAACTCATGAGTATTACTATCCTTTCTTTGTGTTCTTTTCCTAAACTACAGTTTTCTGATCAAAAGTCACTTTCCTGATTTTCTGTGTTTATTTCTCCCCCTTTTATTACACATTTTTTTTGTGAGAACTGTGACAGTTGTTCTCCAAATGCATTGCATTCTGGGGAAAGGTGCATTCTTCTTGTGCTTGCATTTAAAATAATATTGTTCCTTTTTTCTTGAGGTGCATTTTACTTGGCTGTTTTTTTCTGCATCTCTCAAGACTATGCGTGCATGTGTGTAAGATATTGTTAAATTCCATTTGATTGTGCAATGCCTGTGCACATAAATATATACAATAATGGCTGCGGGAGGTGTAGGAAGCATGACACCATGCATATCCACTTGGGAACAAATAGATCAGAGCTCACTCAGACTTATCTCTGGGTTCTAGAGCTGTATTATGGGGTGCTCTGCCCGAATTAATTGCCTCATTAACACT